CAGTGAACTACTCTTCGCAGATGGTCAGGCACTGATAGCAAGTACAGCTATGAAACTGCAACATCTTATGGCTATGAATCAAGAATACAAGTACGGTAATATGAAAATCAACAAAGAGAAAACAGAAGTAATGGCAATCAGAACAAAAATGCATACTCTAAACATAGTAATGAAAGAACAAGCATACAACAAGTAACTAAGTTCAAATATCTAGGAACAACTGAAGATGGTAAAATAAATGAAGAGATTAATGGTAAGGGAAACCAAATATTGGGACAGCCTGTTCCACTCCTACAATATAAGGCAGTACCGATCAGCATGAAGAATCATCTCATAAAAAGCATATTCATTCCCACCCAATGTTACCAGTGTCAAACATGGACCCTTACAATGGAACATAAACCAAAGTTAGTCAGCATGGAAATGAAACGTTTGAGGAAAGCTGCTGGAGTGACCAGAAGAGATAAAATCAGAAATAAGACCATAAGAGAAAAAACTGGCATAGAACTAATCTTAAATTACATACGAAAGAGCAAATAAAGTGGCTTGTTTATCTGGAGAGGATGTTGTGTAGTTGCATACTGTACAGGGCATATACAAAAAGAGAAGACGGTCAAAGAATATTAGGCAGACCCAGAAGAAGATGGAGACACAACATCGAAGTCGTACTACAGCAATATTAGTTAACAATGGTTGAAGATGCTGGAAGAACATGAGCCAGAACTTTTTATCTCCCTTGACACTTGAAGTGGTGAAAGAGGAAGGGAAGTGGAGGAGGAAGAAGAGGAGAAATATGGATGCTGTCGGGGCTGGATGGGGAGCAACGGGCTGAAACTGAACCCTGGCAAGACTGAGTGGCTCTGGGTTTGGGGTTCTTTGGGCCATGGAGAACCTTGGTCTTGGATAGGGTGGCATTACTCCAAACACACTCAATGTATAATCTCGGCGTTCTCCTGCACTCACGACTCCTGCTTGAGAGCAGGTGGCAGTCGTGCTTTCCGCAACTGCAGGTTGTGCGCCAATTACGTGCTTTTCTGGAACAACAATCTTTACTCATGATCATTCATGCCCTAGTTAGCTCCTGTCTTGACTATTGCAACATGCTCTACATGGAGCTACCCTTGAAAAGCACCCGGAAACCCCAGTTGGTTCAAAATGTAGTGGTCTGCACAAAACTGTGCAAGTATGCACATGTATTACCTGTGCAGGTATGCACATATATTACCTCTCCTGTGATAGTTGCATTGGTTGCCAATTTTCTTCCGAGTATAATTCCAGGTGCTGATTGTCACCCTTAAAGCCCTTCATGGCTTCGAACAGGGTTATCTGAGGAACTGTCTCTTGCCAGTCACATCCATCCAACTCACTAGAGCAGGTAAGGAATGTTGCAGATCTCATCTCCTAAAGAGGTACATCTGGCGTAACCCAGAAGAAAGTCCTTCTCCATAGTGACTCCCTCCCTTTGGAATATCATCCCTTCAGAAATTAGACTGGCCCCCACTAACTGTGTGTTGTCATGGGGGGGGTATTGTTTATTTGTTGTTTACTTTTTATTTTCTATACTGTGCTTTTACTGCTTGTAAGCCAACTAGCCACATGTAAGGATCCTGTTGGACTCTAAAACAGAATAGAAACAAAAGTTCTGAACAAATAAATCTTGTGCATAATTTTTGGAATGGTTTCCAACTATATGTGCCATGGACTCCTTGCATCGGACTATGTATTCTAGGACGGTCCTGCTGGCCCTGCGCGACTCACCCCTCGCGCAGGCCTGGCCCAGCAACATTCCTAGGGCCTACCTCGAGGACGGGACGTGGAACCCCGAGAGGTGGCATGCAGGGGCCAGGGACAAAAAATTGTTGAAATTATGTAAATTGAGAAGGTTTTTACAGGGGTGTTTTAACAAATTT